GAACAGTTTCCATTAGAAATGGGGCAAATGGTTAGAATAGATATTTCCCTAACAATGACATCCAATAATTAATAAACACATAAAAGTATGCTCAACATCAGGGAAATGCAAACCAAAACCATAATGAGACTATTTCACACCAACCAGGATGACTGAAATGTAAACAGTCAGATATAATAATGCTGACAAGGATGTAAGAAATTGCTCCTGCATACACTGATAGTTGGGATCTAAGTAGTGTGACTGCTTTGAAAAACAGTCTGGTACTGTGCCTGGTAACTCCTCAAATGATTAAACATAGAGGTACCATGTGACGAGACAATTCTATCATCTATATCTACCAAAAAGAAATGAAAATAGATGACCACATGAAAACTTAATCAGGAATGCTTAGAGAAGCTTTATTCATAATATCAAAATGATGGAAGCAACCCAAAAGTACATCAATTGATAATGGAAAAAGAAATTGTTGTATATCCAAACAAAGTAACATTATTTGATCATAAAAAGGAATGAAGTTCTGATACATGCTATAATGTGGGTGAACTTGGCAAATACTACTCTAAGTGGAAGAAGCCAGTGACAAAAGGCCACACATTATATGATTCCATTACACAAAATGACCATATTGGGAAAATATATAGGGACAAAAAGGAGATATGTGGTAGTTAATGGCTGAAGGGGTAGAGGATTAGAAAAATAATAGCTAAAGAACATGAGTTTTCTACGTAAAGCTTCTAGAAGAACACATAGGGGAAAGCTTCATGATATTGATCTAAGCAGTCATGTTTTGGTTAAGAACCTAAAAGTACCAGCAATGAAAGCAAAAATGAACAAACAGGAGTACATCAGAGTAAGGACTTCTGCACAGCCAAGGAAATCATCACTTGATAAGGCAACTTACAGAGTAGAATAAATTGTCTGCCACCAATACATCTGATATGAAGTTAATATCCAAAATATATAAGGAACTTAAAAACTCAATAACAAGAAAACAACCTGATTTTTTAATGTGCAAAGGACTTGACTACACACTTCTCAAAAGAAAAAAAAAGCAAATGGCCAAGAAGTATATCAAAAGTTTCAAAATGATTAATAATGAGAGAAATGCAAACTAAAGCCACAATAAAGTATCAACTCAAAACATTACAATGGCTTGTATTAAAAAACAAAAGATATATGTTGGTGAGAACGTGGAAAAAAGGAAATCTTAGTACACTGTTCATAAGGATGTAAATTTATATAGCTATTATGGACTAGAGTATGGAGGTTCCTCAAAATATTAAAAATAGAGCCATTATATAATCTAGCAACTGCACTACTGGTGTATAGCTAAAGAAAATGAAATCCTATGTCAAAAGAATATCTGCATTCCTCTGTTCATTTCAGCATTATCCACAATAGCTAAGATATAGAAACAACCTAAGTGTCCATCAGTAAATGAATGGAATACTATTTGACCTTAAAAAGGAAATTCTCTCCTTGTGACAACATGGTTGAATCTACAGGACATTATGTTAAGTGAAATAAAGCAAGTATAGAGAGACAAATACAAATACATGATCTCATTTATATGTATGATGTAAAAAAATTCGGATCAGAGAGGTAGAGAGTAGAATGGTGGTTACCAGAGGCTAGGGTGTGATGGGTGTTAGGGACGTGTTCATCAAAGTTAGACACAAAAAAGAATATACTCAAGAAGTCTATTGCACAACATGGTGATTTTAGTTAATAACAACATATTGTATTCTTGAAAATGATTAAGAGCAGATTTTGTGTTCTTGCCATAAAAAATACAAGTTGTGAATATATTAACTACCTCAATTTAATCATTCCAAATCATTCCACAGTGCACATATATTTCAAAATAGCATATTACACAAGATTAAAATATACAATTTTTAATTGTTAATTTAAAAATTGACTTCAAGGTTTCTTTTTGAGGTGATAAACATTCTAAAATTAATTGTAGTGATGTTGCACACATCTGAATATACAAAGATATGCCACTTAATTGGTGAATTACAGGGTATGTAACATTTTCAACACATTTGTTGTTTTTAAGATGTTTGTTTGTGTGTGTGTGTGTGTGTGTGTGTGTGTATCTAGATCTCCTCTGATTCAAATGAATTTTTTGGATTGTTTTTCCTAGTTCCATGAAATATACTGTTGGGATTTTAATAGGGATTGCATTGAATCCATATAGCTGTTTTGGTAGTATGGCCATTTTCACTGTATTGATTCTTCCTACCCAAGAACAAGAGATGTCTTTCCATTTCCTTATATCCTCTTTGATCTCTTTTTTCAGAGTGTTTTAGTTCTCAATGTAGAGGTCTTTTATTTTGTTAGATGATTCCTAGGTATTTCATTTTTTTGGATGCTATTGTAAAAGGGATTGCTTCCCTAATTTCACTCTCAGTAAGTCTGTTATTTGTGTACAGGAAGGCTATTGATTTTTGAGTGTTGACCTTGTATTCAGTTACTCTGCTGAAAGTGTCAATTAAGTCTAGAAGTCTTTTGGTGGAGTTTTTTGGGGTCTTATGTGTAGGGTATCAAATCATCAGCAAATAATGACAGTTTAACTTCTTTCTTTCCTATCTTTATTGCTTTTATTTCTTTCTCACGTCTAATTGCTGTGGCTACTGTTTCAAAAACTATATTGAACAGGAGTGGTGACAGTGGACATCCTTGCCTTGTTCCTGATTTTAACATGAACATTTTTAGTTTTTGACTATTTAGTATGACGTTGGCCATTGGCTTTTCACAGATAGCCTTTATCAAGTTGAGATAAAGACCATCTATTCCAATTTTCTACAGGGTTTTATCATGAATGGGTGTTGAATTTTGTCAAATGCTTTTTGTGCATCTGTTGAGATGATCATATGGTTTTTGTCCATGACTCTGTTAATATAGTGTGTTACATTTATTGATTTACATATGTTGAACCATCCTTGCATCCCTGGAATAAATCCAACTTGGTCAGGCTGTATGATCTTCTTGATGATCCTCTGTATTCTCTTTGCTAGTATCTTATTGTGGATTTTTGCATCTATGTTTATTAGGAAGATTGGCCTACAGTTCTCTTTTTTGGTTGGTTCTTTCCCTGGTTTTGGAATCAAAGTAACACTTGCTTCCAGGAATGAATTTGGAAGTATAGCTTCCCTTTCAGTTTCACTGAAAAGTTTAAACAGTATTGGAAGTAGTTCTTCTCTAAATGTCTTCTCGAATTCAGCAGTGAAGCCATTAGGATCTGGGCTTTTCTTTGTTGGTACATTTTTTTGTTACACTTTCAGTTTTACTGATTGTAATTGGGGTGTTTCGAATTTTTTTATCTTCATTCAACTTTGGAAATTCATAAGTATCTAGAAATCTGTCCATTTCTTCTGTTTTCCATTTTATTAAAGTACAGATTCTCAAAATAGGTATTGATGATCCTCTGGATTTCTGCTGGATCTGTTGTGACTTCACCATTTTCATTCCTAATTGCATGGAACTGAGCCTTTTCTTTCCTCTTATTGATAAGGTTGGCTAAGGATTTATTGATTTTATTTATTCTTTTGAAAAATCAACTCTTCAATTCATTGATCTTTTGTATCGTTCTCTTAGTCTCCATTGCATTGCTTTCTGCTCTGATCCTTTATCATTTCCTGCCTTTCATTGTGTAGGTCTAGCCTACCTCACATCTCTCTTCTTGACTTTGAAAAGGTGGAGGTTGGGGAAATTCTGCTATGATAACATCAGATTAAAATTCCCAATGTTGAATGTCATAATATTGTATACCTAAAATGTACCAATAAAGCTAATGAATTTTTAAAATTTTACCATATGTCAGCAAGGAGGAAGGGCACAAATTCCTCTCCTTAAATATAGGCAATACATCCTTCCCCATAAAAGTACAATATGGAGAGGGGAAAAAGTATGACTTTATTAGTGAGAAAGTTGATAAACAATACTTCAGCCAAGTGGCCAAGTTCAACATCAACAGCCGTAAATCTTTTTGACAGATATCCTTGACATGACACTTGACCCCTGTGGTCCTCCTCCCAAAGCCCATTGCCCCATCTAACCATGAGAAAAAACACTGGACCAACTCCAATACATGGGTATCCTATAAAAATTCAACCAGTACTCCTCAAAATTTGTCAAGACATCAATAACTGTCAAGATCAAGGTCATCAACAACAAGAGAAGTCTACAAAATGGTACATTCAAAAGAAGTCTAAAGAAGATATGGCACATGATACCCAATGGAGGCACAAAACAAGAAAAGACATCAAGCCAAAACTATAAAAGTCTAAATAAACTTTAGGCTTAGTCAATAGCAATGCATAAATATTGATTTACCGTCTATAAGAAATGTACCTAGTAACTTAAGATGTTGATCACAGTTAAAACTGGGGGTGTTGGGTATATGGGAACACTCTGTACTATATTCACAAGTTTTTTGTAATTCCAATCTATCCTAAAAAATAAGCTTTATTAAGAAAATATTCTGTTATGGTTTGGATATTCTTTGAGCATGTCCCTCAAGGGTTGACATGTTGAAATTTAATCCCCACTGTGAGATTCAACTTAGTCCAACTATGCTGTTCAGAGGTGGGGCCTTTGGGAGGTGGTTAGGCTTAGATAAGTTCCTCAGGGTGGAGTCCCCATTACTGAACACTTATGGCTTTATAAGGAAGAGCAACCAGAAGACACATGCACACACACACACACACACACACACGCACATACACATACACACATGCACATTCCCTGTGTCTTTCCCCATGATCCTCATGCACAGACTTTGAAACTGTTGCCAAAATAAACCTGTTTTCTTTATAATCATCCAATCTGTGGAATTATGTTATTGGCAACACAAAATGAATTAATACACCTGGCAAAGAATATTTTTTCCAAGACAAGGACATACTCCAACAGCGAACGATATAGCTTACATCTGGAGTGGGAGCCAATCTCTGTAGTTTCTCTGAGAAATCTCCATTTTGAAATTTCAGGTGAGCACTGAATTGTAGAATTTGAAGACTAGAGGACCTTAATTAAGCAAAAGCATATTAACTTCTCTGAGGATAATTCATCGTCTGTAAAAAGGAACAGAGAACACTGATGGGCTTTCCTCAGAGATACTGTAAGTATTGTTAATACTAACAGGTGTCATTTATGAAGTATTTCCTAGGCACAATGGAAAGTACTTAGGCACCTCAATTAATTCTTATAATGCACCTATGAGATAGCAACTATTCTTATGACCATTTTACTGATAAGGAAAGTGGAGTTAGTTAGCCACGGCTATGTAGCTAAGGAACATCCAAGAAAGAAATTGATGGCTGATCACCCCAAGAGCCCATGCATCTAATCAGGATGATGGCTCCTGTAGTCAAGAGACAAGACTATACACTTAACAAGAATAGGAATTATGGTTTGGAGTTAGCAGCTGTATTCCCTTTTATTTGCTATTATAGGTCTTTCATAAATGTTTGTCAAGTGATTTAATAATGAGTAAATGAATAGATGGGTGGGAAAATTTAGGAACTACGAAGTGTATGTTTTCCTAAGTATTATCAAATGTATTTGTTATGTAGCGCATCACTCCAAAACTAGGTGGCTTCAAGTAACAATATTCATTTATTACAACTCAGAATTTCTGTGGGTCAAAACGTTGGGGTGCACCACAGTTTGGCTTGGCTGAGTGGCTCTGCTTTGGGGTCTTTCATGTGACTGCAGACAAGATGCTGACTGTAATCATCTGAAGTCTGATGCGAGCCGGAGGATCTGCTTCCCAGGTTGTTTATATCTCACATGATTGGCAAGTCGGGCCAGTCACGGGGATGACTGCGCAGCCTCACAGCACGGTGGCTGGCTTCCCCCAGAACAAGTAATTTCATAGACTGAGAAGCCTCAGTGCCTCTTATGACCTATCCTTGGAATTCACACATCATCTTCTATACATCCCATGAGGTAACCCTCATTTGACTTGGGAAGAAACTAGAAAAATACGTCAGTGCCATGGGGGTGAGGATCACCGGGGGCTGTCTTGGAGGCTATCATTACTCTCTTAGACCTGAGGCTGGAAATGGGAGTTCTCTGAATTTTTTTTCCTGATACCAGAGATTGATAAAGACACAAATATTTCACTTTTGCCCAAGACTATTTCGTTAAAACCAGCACAAACTCATGGAAGGGAAACAAAGACTCTGAGCGCACTGCGAGTTCATCCCTCGTTCTGGTCATCATTTCTGGTGATGTATCTTGATACTAAATCAGTGTCCTCCTGACCTGTGCAGTTCCTGGAGCCTACAGGAAATGTCATTATAAATTCTCATCTCTGCTCTGGTTCCCCACATAGAATATTAAAATGGTTTGGGGGGGCAGAGTCACAAAAGTGTGGTACATTGGATCAATGAGGCTAATGCTGGTAGAAATTGGTTCTGAAAAAAACCCTAGAAAATGGAAGATTTCTCGAGTCCTTTATCCTAGCAGTGCCTAATCCTCACTGCTTTTTAGAAGACCTTGTCCCCACCCTTTAGTACCCCGCCCATACCCTTTCAACCAGCACATCCCATCGTTCTAAGTTCTAGTAGGCGCAGGGTCAATCATTAACTCCGTGGTGTAAATTAAATCCTAAGGCTCCAAGTCCTGTACTCTTTTCTTGACGCCAGTTATGACTTCCATTGTAATACACCACAATGGCTCCTTTCATTAACCATCCCGAAGTGTCCAAAGAAGAAGCAGTTAGCCACAGCAGAGGATTCCACCTATGTCTCCATATCAACTTCCTTGCTTCCTCTGGCCAAAACCCAAAGCTCTACCTGAGTAACTAAAATGTAACTAAGACCTTCTACTGGTTACTTGTCCTTCCCGTACTACTTTGCGTCCTTCTTTACCCTGTCTTTTCCCTAGGAAGCTGATTGCTATGAACCACATGAAGATGCTGCCGTGTCTTCTGATTCTGAGAAGATATATTTTTGTCTTATTCCCTTCCCACCAGGATATGGCTTTGCCAATATCTGTGCACCTGTTTCTGGAAAAAGTTTCTGTCAGGTGAGCCTTCTTCCACAACCACAGGTCATAAAGTGTTCCACGTGCCCCGGGCGTGGTGGCACACGCCTGTAATCCCAGCACTTGGGAGGCTGAGGCAGGAGGATCTCTGTGAGTTCAAGACCAGCCTGAGCTAAACAGTGAGTTCCAGGTCAGTCTCAACTACATAGTGAGATGCTGTCTCAAAACAACAAACAAACAAAGTGTTCCAGAAACACTGCACCTTATCCCTTCACTGCTAACATCTCTCTTCTGATGCCATGCTTCACCATTCCATGTTGGACTCTTTATGACTGCCCCGGATCCCTTATAGTGCGTTAAGTTATTCTCAATTATCTCTTTGGGTTATGCTGTTTCCTGCTAGGAACCTGAAAAATACAGATCTCCTTCCTGGGTCCCTGTCTGTCTCCTTTTTCTCATCCTTGGCAGAAGCTGCAGGAATCTGCTCCCAAATTCCAAGCTGTAGCAGCCAAATCAACCAAGCACCAGGAGACTTTTCCAAAGTTCTAAGGCCTTGGAGATTATGCATTAGAAGGTGAACAAGGTAAATGCTTTAGGAGAGATGTGATCCAGCTGGTGGCTGTGGTGAAGTGAAGTGGGGTAAAAAATTTTCACCCCAACCTCTGCAGCTCCATCCTCTACTCAGAGAGAGGCAACTGCTGCTTTCTTCAGCCTTATTCTGCAGAGAAAAAGACTCAATAGGTACTGGAGAACGTGAATCTATATCAGAGCTTCTATATCTTTTAGGAAAGATTCCAGAACTAAAGTTAAGAGATGGCAGCATGTTAGAACCAAGTGTTGCTATGTTCCAAAATATAGCATATTAATAGTATATTTGAGGTATGTGGAGCCGACAGATTGGGACAGAACTGGCATGGAAAGGATAGTTAGATCATCACAATTCCCAGGAGCACACCACACTGTAGGGAAGGACACAGGGAGAAGCACCAGGGCTGATCAGGAGGTAGAAGCAATGAGAGAAACTCTGGGTAAGGGTCTAAATTGTGTCTTCCACAGGAAGAAATAAACAAGACAGGATAATAAAAGTTGTCTTAGAATTGCCCAGTATGAATAATTTCAGGAGACTCTGAGGTATAGGAATTACAATTAGTGGCCTGGTACCTGACCCTGGGATGATTAGAGCAGTGGCCTGGAGGTGAAGAGCTTGATAAAGGAGGTGAATGAGAGTGGAGTCTGGCAGTTGATTTGCATTTGAAAAACATGCTCAGTGAGCTAGTCATTTATTGTCTCTAGGAATTGGCTAGCCCTAGAAGGGACAGTCACGCAAAGATCGCTGGATCCTAGTCACCCTGAAAGCGCCCAGTCTCCTCTGATCTCCGAAGCTAAGTAGGGTCAGGCCTGGTTAGTACTTGGATGGGAGATCAGTGGGTCCTAGACATTTAAAATAAAACAAAACAAAACAGAAAAAAGCATGATTTATATAACCCAAGATTAATTTTCAAAGACACATGCCCCCAAAATACTGAATCTAGATTTGTCAAAAGGCAGACCATGAAGTATTTCAAATAGAGGTATATAATGTAAGGAGAGACTGCAGTTCAGGAATCTTGGTGGAATTTCTAATAGCTAGGTGTACTCTTACTAAACTGCTTATCTCTCACCTAAAATCCCAGCTTTTCATTTGTCAACCCAGCTGCAATGGACACTCTAATGTCTGGGGTTTCCCAGCATCCATTTCTCCCTGGAGCCAGTATGCCCCAATTCTTAGCCATGGTTTCAATAGACTGATGGGGACAATCAGAGTATCCCATCCTGTGGGCACAATGATTGGTCTATGTATGGTGACAATCAAGACCATTGATCACGTCTGCAGAGGCTCCTGGATAGAAAAGCCTCCTCTCTCTTTCATAAGTACTACCAGAAGAGACTGTTCCTCATTCTTTGGATAATATGCTGTGAAGAACTTGAGAAACCATTTTATGGCTGCATAAATGTGATCTGGGAGATCAAGGAAACACAAAACACCTGGATCCTTGATGCCGTAAGTTGTGCTGCTAGAATGAGGCCAGTCTACATCCTGATGCATCCCCGGACACTTTATCCACCTAGACAATCAATGACTCGGCTTCCACATCACTTGTAACATAAAGAGTATACTGTCCCACCTGAAAATCTCAGCCCCAGCAGACTGCTTACAAACCCTTCTTGCTCTTTCTAGTCCTAGAGTTTACTTTCCTCCTCTCTTATGCTTTCTCTTCCGGACACCAATCTGTGCTTGGAGGGAACTTTCCTTCCAAACACTCCATGGAACCATCTGTCTTGGTCAACTTCCTCACTGCTGAGACAAAATACCTGACACCTTCAGCTCAAGGGAGGTGGTTATTTTGGCTTATGTTTCAGTTCATGGTCAGCTAGCTCCAAAGAGGAATGGGAGAAGGGCACGGTAGAGGAAGGCTGCTCATGACATGGCAGAGAGCAAAGAGAGGAGCTGGAGAAGGAGATAAACCCTTCTAGGCCATGCCCACAGTGACCTACCTGCTCCAAGCAGACCCCACCTCCTAAGAGAAGTCAGCTATAAGTCCTCATAACCCAATCACATTCCAAAAGCCCCGCCAATGAGTGCATGAGGTTCTTGACATCACCACACACATAAGACCAGTCAGTACCTTCCTCTGGATTAAAACCCATCACTGCTGAGTAACTAACTACTACACCCATGTCCATCTCCGTCCCCTTCAACAGTCATCCTTATAGACAAAGACGGTGCCTGGGCTACTGGGATGCAAATAAGGAGACACTGCCCGAAGTTAGGAGTTGGGAAATGCATGTTCTAGTACGGTCTCTGATCTTCATCTGTTATGTGGCTGGGGCTGAGCACCCTACTGTCTCAATGTCTTTATCTTTGAAATGAGAATTGAAACAAGATTTGAGTGTTTTTTTCCATCATGTGCTTCCAGCTCCTGGGCCTCTAAGTTGCCGATTCCAGGGCCTCTACAAAAGCAGTGGGATCGACGGGGGTATAACGTCTTCTACTGTCTGCGCTCAGTTTCAGCAATGGCTGCTTAATATAACAAATAAATAAATAAATACATAAATAAAAGCTACTAGAGAAAATGATATCTGAGAGATTATGCTAATCTTTAAGACTGCCTATCAAGAAATTCTGCTTTTCTCTTCAGGCTCATGGTAGGAGTACTTATCTTCACGCCTTCAAATTTAGGTGTGTCTATTTGTTTCCTTTAGCTAATAAAATTTGAAGTAGGAATGATATGTGCCACTTTTTAGCAAAAGCTTTACAACACAGTATGCAATTCAACATATTCCTCTTTTTCCTTCTCTGATGATCATAAAACATATTAAAATGGAGCTTCCACTAGCCTACTTTCTTTGAAAAGTGCTAAGCAAAGACTACCCTCTACCCCACCCCTCCCAACCCACATACCTGCGTGACGCTTCATGAGTGAGAAATAAAGTTATGTTACTTTAAGACTCTGTGACTGGAGGTTGTCTGTTAATATAGCCATGTCTAGCCTACCCTGATTGGATACAGGTCCTTCCCAGTTTGACTTAACACATCCTTCATTTATAAGTTTTGTACATTGGACTAGTGTTAAGCACTTCACCTACTTCAGTACCAAAGTCACTTAAATCTCTCTACACCCTCAGATAGAAATCCTATTAGTGTTTACAGATAAGAAAATCGGGGCCCCAAGAAATCCAATATATTGGCCAAGTTTACACAGCTAATGAGTGACATGGTCAGGACCCAAGCCCCAAATAAAATAATTGTCTCTATTCCTCATAGGAATCGAACCCAGTTGTGTGCCAAAGCCAATTTTTGCCACCTTATGAGAGCTAACTGTGGGCATCTCCTCCCAAATTCATATTCAGGGACATCATATCAGTAGCTTGAAATCAATTCTGATGAGAATGGTTATACATCATGGAAATTAGCAAATGTTACAACCTAGGGCTTTTGTGTTTTCACTGCAGGGCCAGTTTACCAGCACACCATAGATCGGACCTGTATTATCAGAGCCAGCCAAGCTGAGTTCTATCCACTAAATTTGCTCCAAATACGTTGGGATTCCCCAAAGTGTTTTGTTGTTGTTATTGTTGATGATGAGAAAGAACTCGCAGTGAGACCAGCACCATTCAATGGAATCATGACTTGAGTTGTTGAGAACAAGCAGAGAGGAGGTACTTTGCAGGATAGCTTAAAAAGGCTACAAGAGCACTGCAGTTGGGCAGAGCACCTGAGATGTCTGAGCCTGAGGTGGCAGGCACACAGCTGATGCTCACAGACAGGCTGAGGCTGCCCATCTTTCCACTGTAGACAAGGATACAAGTGGAAAAGAGCTGCCGGTGCGGTGTTATCCTTTCACAACAGCCACATTAAGGAATCTGCTGCTCAGAAAACGTTGCCTTATGGATGAAAACATGCTTCTTGATTCCCTTGTTTTTGGCCAGTACAGAACAACATGGCTTTATATTGCAGCAGTTGAAGTTCCAGGTTCCTCCACTTTGAAGGAATGGGAGCCCAGTTTCAACCATGGAGAGGAGATTGCGGTTCTCACAAAGGGAATTTATCAGAGTGGAGAAAATCACTCTTTCCTTAGCAGGGACTTTGATGACCAAAAGGCATATTTTGCAGGCTCCACCAAAGACATAGCATCTTGATTTAAAATGGAAACACATATTTGCTAAAAAAAACATTTTTGCCTATTCCCCCACCCCCACCAAAACAGAAGCTATCCAGGAGTTACCTTGCTGCCCCGGTGCGGCATCTACAGAATCAAACTATCCTGCATTCTCATGAGCATCTCACTGCCAATGAGCCAGAAGCCCTGAAGATGCACACAGACTATGCAGCTAGGTTCGTAGGCCTGGAGGTGAAAAACAGACTGGATTTCTGTGATGTGTTTGTGAACCTAGCAGAAAGAGACATCATCACTGCCCCATTCGCAAAGGATCGCCTGACAATGGGCAGGCTGCACAAAGATAAGTCGGACAACCAGGGTATACAGGACGTTGCCCTAAAAACAAAGGAAATCTTCACCAGCCTAGCACCAATTTTGGAAGTTGTGAGGATGAGGAAATCGAGTCCTCGATTTGGCAGCATTAAAGCAACAATGATTTCCACCAGCAACAGAAAACCTCCTTTACCATTGAGCAGCAGCCAGACAAATGCTGAAAATACGACTGAGACATAGTGTCTAGCTGGTGACCGTTACAAAGTTCTGCTTTCATTCTGATTGCCCGTGAACTGTGCAAAATGCTGTAAATAACAGAGTAAATGCTATACTTTTAATAATTCATTGGAAAGTCTTAAGATTTGGCTTGAAGGGCTGGGGTTTAGCTCAGTGGTTCCGCCACCTGACTTGCAAGCGCAAGGAACAGAGCTCGATACCTGGTACAAAAAAGGAGGAAAAAGATTTGACCTGGAAAACACTAAAACATATGCAAACATTTGTGACTTTCTCCCAGCTGATTAGTGTCCCACCTGCTATCAGACTTGGACAAGGCGCCGTGAGAGTGCATCTGGCATTATGAACCAGCTGATGCCCTGGAGGAAGAGCAAAAGTTCTGAGTCCCATGCAGACTACAGCACATGTGAAAGCCTTTACTTCAACTTCCTGTTTGTCTCATTGTGTAGCTGTACACTAATGGTTCATCTTCAGAAAGCTGCCTGAAATGTTGCTTGTATTCTTCCAGGAAGAACTTTAATTCCTCCTGAGGAACTGTACTTTCTGAGCCAAACTGCTAAGTTTTCTACAGAACTGTCTACAAGATCGTTCAAGAGATCTTGCAGTTGCTCTCTTGTTCAAGGAATTTTTTTTCTTAGCCTTCAGACATTTGCCTATGAGAGTTCTGCATAGACTTTATACTTGAGTGGACAACTTTAATAATCCATATTTATCCTGCTGCACAAGTAAGCACTTGGTCAACTGAAGCCTTTAGCACTCTTCAGTTAACCCTGCTGCTAGCACTGTTCTTTGGAAAAGATGCCAATCCACGTACTGGAGAGTAAAATAGAAGCTCCCTTGGAATAGGAATGCCTGTAGGACTGAAGCAATGACTTTATATAATCAACTTTTTCCAGGGGCCAAAGCCAGAGAATGTCTTCACACAACTTGAATCATTTCACCGCCTATTGAGGTGACTCTTCTTGTTCAGCTCTGCGCCATTTTTATAATTAGAGACCTTAAAATTGCCAACTAAGCATGGATGCTTACATCGTGTACTCACTATTTCATTATGGATATTCATATTAATTATGTATATTCGTATTAATTATGAAAGGTTACTTTTCATTCAGTCCCATTGTCCTTTGAAATTTTACCTGGAAATATGTTTGCAAAATAATTATCTTAACTGATTTGGGGGGGGGTGTTAAATGTTTGTTAGGTAAAAATAAAAAGTACCTTTTCCCGTTCCTTCCTAGGGTTGGGGTGAGAAGGACCTGAGATGAGACGTTTACTGAGGCCAACAATTGAGAATGAAGTCTGTTTATAAACACAAAACAAAAAAGGCTACAAGAATAAGAGAAAGGAAAAAAATCCAGGGGCAGAAAGAAGAGACTTTCAGTAAGGGAAACAGACTCTTTAATCTTTGAGTACACATTTTGTTAAGTCTGCATAATGCATGAAAAGCTGGAACGTCCCAGGGACAGCTGGAGTTCAGGGCAGAAGATCAAGTTGACAAGTTGGCTCTGGGGTAAAACAACAGGGTGGGGGCTTGCCTGGAGGCACGGATCTGTGAGTCTGTGTTTACAGAGCTGCAGCAGAAGCTGGCTCTGCCCATCCACCACCCCCACTAGGCTTCCCCCACTGCCCAGTTTTCCCCGAGGGACTTTGGAACCTAGAGCCACAAGGATGCCCCAAGTCGGGTTCTGGCTGCTGTGCCCACAGATCCTGACCACTGAGCTCAGTTTTGGAGGTGAAAGATGATAGCATCTCTGCCACTCCTAGGCAGAGTGACCTTGGGCAAATGCCCCCCCATCTAAGCCTCAGTTTGGTCTTCTGTAAAGTGGGGCTGATAGGAGTTCCTAATTCATTGGGAAGTACTGCACAGTGCCTGGAATGTAGTGAATGCTTAATAAATGATGGTGATCTACTTTTACTACTGCAGTTATTACAGCTAATAGTGTCAAACACATTCTGAAAGCTTTGTTTAAAATAACTCCTTTATTCTTCACAGTTATGAGGTACATACTATTAATAGCCCATCTTCTAGATTGCAAAGGTAGGAGAAGCATTTGCCCAAAGTCACAGTTGCATGGTGGACAGCAAGTTACTGAACCTCCAATCAGCATCAAACACTGTATAAACTCTATCTTGGCCACAAGGACACAATTTTAAGAGGCAGAGCTTATTGTTCCCATTTTAAAGATGAAGGCACAGAGGTTCAGAGAGTCCAATGACCTCACTTCAGGACACCACACCAGTAATCAGCAAAAGTAGACATCAAACGTGGATAGGTCATTTTTGCCTTATAGTGCTGGTTTCGTTCACTCAGCCTTCGTTCCCAGAAATAGAAGCAGTCACTCTTATTAAGGCTGGTTAACATTAATCTGGTTATTAAAACATGCAAGACACTAGGCTGAGAAGTCTATAGGCCTCCTCTTATATAACTGTACAACAGCAACAGGAGGTAGACATTTTTGCCCATTTCACAGTTTAAGAAACTGACGCACGGGAAGCTCACACCTGATCAAGGTCACAGCTAGATCTGGCAGAGTTGGGGTATGATCCTAACCACTCTGACTATGGAGCCTCTTCACACTGGGACAGGCTGTCTTTATTCTGTTGAACTACAGGGTTTCCTCATCCTTGCTCTGCCACGAACACCTCAATCCCCTCCGCAGCTCCCTGTGTGCAGTTTCTGATTAGGTTTTGCAGGAGGGTGGGAGAGGGAGACTCGAGGACTGGAGAGTGGAGGGCAGCTAAGTGGAAGAGGGACAAGTTTGGAGCTAAAACCGACGGACAGAAAGCTAGACCAACAGGTGGCCAGGCCAGGCCTCCCTCCTCCATGTCCCTCCCGTCCCACAGAAGGAATAGCAGGACATCCCGGACCTGTCTCAGAAGTCAGAGAACTGCCGGTA